AATATATCTGCTTATGACGTTATAGTAAGGCTCGGAACATATACCAATTTGTTCTATTTGCAGTTATGGGCGAGAGGCGGTTAATTACTGGAAGATGAAACCCAAACGTAATGAAAGCGAAGACCCATCAGTGGAATAACGCCGAATCATCGCCTTATCGATATTCACGCTCTGTTTCATTCTGTATAGGATGCCTAAAAATCCTCTGTAACCAACCCTACCAACCCAACATATCAAAATCGACGCAAGAAACAGAAAAATTTTTGATGAATTACTTTTCTAGATTAAAGGGACTATTTTTCAGATCAAAGTAGCCCATGGAAGGAAGCTAGTTGAACAAAAAATTGCCAGTGCTAGTTGTTCATATTGAAGCCTATGCTCGCATAATTGTTTTTCTCTTTAGTTTACCAAACGTGGGTATGCGACAATACAGCAAATTTTAGGCGAAACCTAAAACAAAAGCTGTGCGTAACATTGCTCGTCGATAGATTTGACACTTTACTAACATGGATTAAATGACATTATAAACACCAAACAGACTGAAGTCCTAATGCGCAATATTTCTGTTTCAAAGCCGCTTTTTGAAGCAAAGAAGCAGCTCTAATGTAAGTGCTGTGGTTAGAGTCATAAGAAAAAAAAGAGGAAAAAAAAGAGGAACAATAAAGGCCTACAAACGTAATGTGCTAAAAAACCGACAATAATAAAATATTAATACACGTATCAAACAATGACGCTTTTTGTCATAGAGCAATGGGTTGACTGTCCTCCCTATTCGCACATTCAAATTTTAGCCAACAAAAATACGTTTAGGAGGATAGAGAAGAAAGAGAACTAACAATTGGAGTAATAGTAGTGGTGAGAGTTTGGACCCATTTTTGAAATGGCTACCATGTTGCCTTTGCTTACGTTCTTCCTAAGTAGCTTCGCGCTACACTGCGGACAGCTCCTATCCTGGCTAACCATGTGTCTTTCTTATATACAACAATGCTAATGAACACTTACCTCCATGTTTGGGGTTTTTCGCAATGAAGAGCTTACTGGGTGAAGAGTGAATGGAATAGACACAAGTGTCTATCTGCAACAAAGAGATCTCGCATTTGGAGGAGAGCAGTTTATTACCCCAATACAGCGTCATTATTTTTTGTCCCACAACACTGGGAACAATTTTTCACGTCTATCTTCTCAGTGGATGGGAGCCCAGAATCGAGGTGGTACTATTTCGTTAGGTCAGATTCAAACAATCGTGTTTGTTACGCCAAAACCTCCGTGTCCTCTGGTAAAGTGGCGTATGGGGCGGTGCAAGATGAGGCGCTCCTGCGCTTTCGAACGAAGAAGTAGAAGGGTGAGCGAAAATTTGCCAGTCCAAACATACAGGCAGATATAGGCCCACCGCAATGTGTTGACTACTGCCCTTCAAGAGCCCCTCACTTGCCTCCAAATATTTACAAACAGCAAGGGGATCGTTAAGGAGACAAACATCATGAAGGGGCTGAGAGTTATCCTGACGCTTAACCACGCCAAATGCGTGCAAGAATCCTCCCAAAATGATAACGCCCTCATCGTGAATCTAGGCTCCGCATTCAAGGTGAACGCACTTACTTGTTGACGTATGCTATGAACAAGTTTTATGCAACTCACGTATACTATGTTAGAGTTTTAGTGAAAACGAACGACTTTTGACGAGAGTGACAGCCTGACCACTTCTTGGGCCTTGCAGAGGCTTTCATAGAGTGGCATGCCGACTAAATCCTCTTCGGTAAACAGGTGTAGTGGAAAACTGTGTAATGAAATTCGCTCAAACTCGGTTCCGACGCCAGTTTCTACTACACCTCGCCACCATATTATTTGCCCAAACAAGTGGTGAACTAGCTATTTACCTACAACAATGACTTAGTGTTCTCTCCAAACCGCTAGTCTTCTGCTCTAGCCAGCCAGCATGTTGTTCTCAGGTCGTGGAGCTAAGAAGGACGCAGCGTCGTCCAGCAGCAAGCAGACTTTAAGCAGCACTGACAGAATGGGAACATCTTCGCTCTTCCTCATACTTTCTACTTTCAGGTGGGCTCTCCCCAATCTTGCTTCACTTTTCATCATTTATAACAGTTTGCAAGCTGATTTCATGGTAGGCTTCCAACATTTGGTACGTTCTCTAAACTGCGCTTCCGAAGAGCACTTTAATGGCTGCTGGTGTTTTAAAAAGAAGGCTTGTTTCAGTTAAGGTATCATCATGCCCGAAATTACAATTCCGCCACGGGAGGATAAAGGTAGAAAGCTACAACTATGTTAACAATTTGAAGGAGAGAAAGAGGTATGCTAATGCATTACTAGCAAGTGCACCACAGGTTGACTGAATAAGAGGATTATTTGCTAGGTGTAGCGCACAACATATGCGGTTAAAAGTGAGTCTGCCACCCATCCACTTACATAATGAATTGTTCTCTGCATCAGGGTTACCGACTAACCTGCCAACGTCAGTCCAATTGCCGTGTCCTCCGAGTGGTGCCATATCCAGTTGAGCCAGACAGGTATATCTAGTGGCATCGGAAACTCCCAAATCATCAACAATAAGTCTTGATACTGCAATCATAGGAACACCAGTATCGTCTTTTCTTAGACCCGCCACTACTGAAAATCGGTCCAGTCGGGTTCCAGTGAAATCGGTCTCCTTCGATGTCAGATGTGCACCTTCCATGTCTGCTAGAGATATGACACCGGAGAGGTTGGTCTTCGTGGGTGTCTCCACAATGGCTGGAAAGAGTTGGTCATCTTCGGCTACCCTTGTGCCCAAGTATTTCATTGCTTCCACCAATGGAAGGTAATTTAAGGCTTCGCGTACACCTACATCAAAATTGACATCGTGGAGAGAGGCAAGGCCTTCCGGAGGTGGTAAGTTACTGCCACCTCCTCCCTTGAACCATACCAACTTGGGAGGCGGATTGCCGCGTGCCGCACATTCCAGAACCATTTTTTCGCCCTCCCTGGCAACTGGACGGTTAACATAGGCCCACGGTGGAAGTAGGGGTGGTTTGCTGCCTTGGCGCCGAAGTGGGCGATCATTGAAGTGACCTCGCGTTGTCCAGGAGTTGTGTGGTGCAGAGGAAGTGGACGTTTTGATATCAACGAGCCGCGGATTTCCAGGAAGCATTCTCGGACGTGAGAACACAATTAGACGGATGGGTTGCACTTGGATAAGAAATTCGGTATTGATGCCGCTGTCAATGAGGGAGGGTCGGAAGGAGGTCGGTGTGGTGGTGAATGCAGAGGCGTCGACTGAGGAGGACGCGGTAGGGGCGGAAGTGGTAGGCGAAGTGAAAAGCACCTCGGTGATTTGATCGACTGGCGTAGGGAGGTGGTAGAAGGGGTTAGATGCCTCCGCCTTGCACATGTACATGCCGGCATGTCGCGGAGTCAGTTT